GTCGAGGATAGGCAAACCCGCAACACGGCGGCGCGTGCTCCGAATCACCCGGTACGAATGGCGTCCACACATCTACGAGCGTGCGATATTTTCACACTTGCGTTTTCGGTGTTTCAAATAAGGTGCCATTTTTTTTTTTTTTTTAAGGTGAGCGCCCCGACCTCGCACTCACCGGTGATAGCCAACCACATATTGCTATCTCCCTTTTTTTTCTTTTCTTTTTACATTATTACTGAACAAGGCAATTTACAATACCAATACAATAATACAATATTCCAAAAACAAATATACAAAATCATCAATCAACATCCTCTTCGTCAACAACGTCGTCTTCTTGGAGAAAGTCGTTCAATCGATCTTCTGGTTTCTCCTGCAACAAAGAAATACATTTAACAAACGCACTCACAAACTACCGCTGACAGCCGCCCCCTTCAAGACACTTACCCAGTCAATTCGGAAGCATTGGGCCATGTCATACACTAGAATGGCATCGCTCTCGGTTCTTGCGTGGCCTACCCCAACGTTAGAGAGGACATTGCCCACAATGCTTTCCATCTTCTTCCTGTCTCCGTTGGCAGCCAGAAGTTCGTCAACGATAGACGGTATGTAGAAGGGCCCTCTCATGCCACGGGAGTTCTGAGCCTTTAAGAAGTGCAGCACTTTCGCCACGTCCATGTTTTTATGGGCCTCTCCACACTTGCCCGTCTTCGGAGGCTTATTAATGTGGTCCACAAGCTTGGATTGCTTTGTATTACATGTAGGACACCAATGGGAGAGGTCCTTTCCATTTGCACTTAAATTCATAACTCGGAACTAAAATGAAAAGATTCCTATGAGGATGTAAGGCGCAAGAGAAAACTCTTTTACCGAGCAAGCAAATACTTACCCCGGCCTTTCTTCTCTCCTTTATGGCGAAGGCGACGTCGTCGAGCTTGGCTGCCTCCTTCTTCTGTGCTATTTGGGCCTTCTTCTTCTGCACTATTTCGTTGAGGTCAAATACCACGTGTGCCTTCATGTTATCCGTCACCTAGAACTCGACCAGACTTTGGTCACTACTGCTGGCAACCGACGCACACGAAAGGCAAGAAGATGCCACACTGAAAGCTGGAGACGCCGGCGATGCCGGCGATACTTCAGGTATTTCAGGGTTCAAGGTTGTGCAGCCCGGAAAGGTTGGGCTGACGTCACGTCTTGCGGGAGGCGGGAAGGTCCAGGCATGGACAGGATGGCATCGGCGCTGGTTGGTCTTCTAAACGGATCAGGCCTGTCCTGTGTGTCCTTATTTAGGACGAATGTTTTACAACCATCTTTTTGACTACGGACCATCGCCGCTTGCCTCCTCTGTAGGGACTCCTTTCTTGTGTCTCCTACACCTGCCTGAAGTTGGCCAGAAAAAAAGTTAGCCAGAAAAAAAAACTTAATCAAAATTTTCAATTTTTTCTAGAAAGAGTACTATAAATTAACCATCCAGAAATGCGTAATTGGACCTGGGGAACAACATATCAAAAGATGGCGGGTCTTTGAGATTTCGGCATTCCCTGTACCATTGTGAATGACAATGGAGCGCAGTTGGTCTCAAAGGAGTTTGAGCAGTTTCTTCTGCACAACAATGTTCGGCACGTCATTGTCCCCACCTTGGCATCCAGCATCCAACCTGTGAAAGAGCTGCTGAGGAAGTTCACCGAAGGGGACTTCCATGTCAGGCTGGCCAGGGTTCTCCATTCCATGAGGAACCGCCCCCGTCGTCAGCCAATGGCGTTTCTCCGGCCGAAGTGATGTTCTCCAATCGGCCTTCAAGGTCTCCTCTCCGGCGCCTTCATCCGGACAGCTGGCCAACCCTTACTTCGACGGAGCCTCCACTCCAACCAGGCACACTTGCCTGGGCACTGAAACGAGTAAGAGGTACCAC